CCCCCTGCTTGTGTTCCCTCTCTCGCTGTGTCTCTCTGTCAAATAAATAAAAGCTTAAAAAAAAATTGAACAATAGGTTAATTATCTGAATAATATATGAATAGATTAAAAACTGCAATAAAATAGGGCTGTATATTTCTGTATTGTTTATAAGTTTCTGTATTGTTTATGTTTCCTAATGAAAGAACAGAACTACACACAAGATGGAATAAATAACTTGTCTCTGTTAAGAATGTTGATCCAGAGCGCCTGGGTGGCTCAGGTGGTTAAGCATCTGCCTTCGGCTCAGGTCATGATCCCAGGGCCCTGGGATCGAGCCCCACATTAGGCTTCCTGCTCAGTGGAGAGCTTCCCTCTCCCTCTGCTGTTCCCCCTGCTTGTGTTCTATCAAATAAATAAATAAATAAAAATCTAAGAAAAAAAAATGATCCAACAAAAATGAATTGCCCCACTGTGGTCCTTGAAACTAACCTGTTTTATTTAATGGACACTCCATACACCCAAGTGGTTGTAACAGGTACTGCAAGATGTATTATACGAATAGACGTTTCAAGTATGTGTGATACTTCTTTTGATGGTAAGAAGTGTTCCTGTGGGGCAGATCTACAGTGAAGACAGTGCCAGTGGGTTGAGTATTTCTGTGGGACCCAGCAGGCGCCCCAGCCCAGCCCTGCAGTGTGGGGGAGGCAGCACAGGATGTGGGGAAGAGCCCACCGCACCGATGGAAGAGCTGGTCTGGGCAGGAGCTCTTCAGACCCCCTTCCAGCAGGCTGTCCACACTGCTCTCCCCCTTTGACCAGCTAGTCCTGGTGAGCCTTTTCAACTGCGTTACTGACAATGATACAGGGTGCAGCCTGTGGCAAAGGGATGTAGGCGAAGGCTCCCCTTGGGGTTTTGGCCTTTGTGTCCTTGTAAGAGAACACACAGAGAAGGTGATGTGAGTGGAGGCAGAGATGGAAGTAATGTGTCTACCAGCCAAGGAATGCCAAGGACTGCCTGTAACCACCAGAAGCTGGGAAACAGGCATGGGACAGATTCTTCAGAGCCTCCAGCAGGAATCTGCCCCCACCTCGATTTTGGACTTCCGGCTTCCTGAACTGTGAAAATTCATGTCTGTTGTTTTAAGCTACCCAGTTTGTGGCAGTTTGTTACAGCAACCTCAGGAAGCCAATCCCACTGAGGCTCAGCTCCTTACAGAGCACAGATTAGCATGGGTTCTAAATGTGCCATGCCTCCATGTGGACAGAAGGTAATACTGAGATTGGTGAGGAGGCCCAGATTGGCTGTAAGGGAAACTTAATTAACCCTTCCCACACTTCCTTTTCCTTCCCAAGTGGTGCAGTGTTCTATTTGAAACATCAAATGCCACTTCTTGGAGGCAAAGCCAAGAAGTGAGGGCAGTGTCCTCTATCTGGGACCGGTTTCTGCACACCTCCCTTTCAGCCTGTGGCCCACAGCTCCCGAGGACCTGGAAGAGATCAGCACTGGGACGCGCTCAGCAGCAGCAGCTTCTGAATCTGCATTGCCTACACCTCAAACCCCATCAACCTGCAGTGGATGAGGAAGGCGCACACAGTGCTGCGGAGGTGGCCAGGCCCACTGGAATCTCAGTCTCAGGCAGCCGTCCAGTGTGGGAATAAAGGAATTGTCCTGGGTCAGCTGTCAAGGTCTTGCCTACGACCGGTCCCCAGGGGGCAGAATAGAGCCGAGCAGACCTCATCACGAGGGCACCACACCCTGTTCTGCTGCCTCACACCCATCATCAGGTAGGAAGGTTGTTAGCTGGTGTTTGTCAGTTCCTCTAGGGCAGAGCCCATGGCTTTCCCCTCCTCTCAAGCCCTCCCCTCACCCAGCACCAGGGGGAAGGCAGCACCCTTAATACAGGCCTGTGTGCACAGCACGGCAGGACCCAACAAGTGGACCCTTTTCCAAGCCTCACCGGCCCTTGCCTAGACTAACAAATGGCTGGAATCCAGAAGCAGGAGGAAGGGATGGGATTCATTGCAGTTCCCAGGAATCCTAAGGCTTTGGGCTCTGGAAGAATAGATCTGGGAGGCATAGGATCCAAGAGACACTAATGAGAAAGTGGAAGTTAAGCTTCAAAGTGTTCATTTTTCTCTTTTTAAAACTAAGGAGCTTAATAAGGAGAAAAAAGAAGTCAAGAGCTGGGACACCCCCTCAGAGTCAGAGTATCTTGTTTCCTCTAACAAATTTCTGTGCTACTATTTCCAGAGGAGGAATGATCCTGAAGCTCTAGGTCACTAGCCACCTGGCTAGTGAGAAAAGATGTAATGTGGCTGGAAAAGCGTGCTCACTGCCACCCTCAGCTTGGAGATTTTACATGTATTGGGCTCATCAGGATTTGCCTCCCACCCATCATATCCTATAAACTTAAGATTAAGAGGGAGAGCTTCTAGAAAAGAAAAACCAGATGAAGGTGGCAGTGAAGCCACTGAGGGGAGGGAAGGAGCCCTCGGGAGTCCTGGAGACCCTCTCCTAGTCAACAACACTCTTCTCATAACACCATTAGAAAATCACGGACACACCCAGGCGCCATCCCTTCCTGCCACATGGCCCCTTCAGGGGATCAAGGGTCAGGACTCACGCTGCTGCCAGCTCACAGATCATCTGGTCAAAGTTGTTTCTGTGCTGCCATTCATGGAGGCTCTCAGTCTGGCCAGGGATCGAAGCACGGGACAACTCCCTCCAGGTCACATTCTACAAGTGCATCCTCCCACCCACCACCCTGTATCCACCCATCATACTCCCTGCCCTTCATCAAATCTGACATGCCCCACCTGGAGGGACTATATGCTCAGTGAAATACGCAGAAAGACAAGTATCACATGATCTCACTTATATGTGGAATCTAAGTTGAACTCATGGAAACAGAATGGTGGTTGGCAGGCCTGGAGTGTGGGGGAAATGGGGAGATATTGGTCAAATGGTATAAACTCTATTAAGATGAGTAAGTTCTGGAGACCTAATGTATAGCATTAGATAATAATAACATATTGTGTACTTGAAATTTGCTAAGAGATTAGATCTTAAATGTCCTTATCACACATAAAAAATGTTAACTATGTGAGCTGGTGGATATTACTACGGTAATCATTTCACTATGCCTATGTATACCAACACATCCCATTGCATACCTTTTTTAGCAGTATGAATTTTGGTCTTTTACTTGCTGTTTCCCCAGTTCCTGGCACATATATAGCACTTAAGTATCATACGAGTCAGTGAGTGGATCTTATTTTATCCTCATGCAATCCTGTGAGCAGATGGTTTCATTTGTCCCATTATTACTCTGCCAGACCCCATGCTATGGAGGGGATCCAGCGGTGACCATGAGACAGATACAAGGCCCCTTCCCTCATGGGTCTTGAAGAAGGCAGAAAATAAGCAAATACAGTAACAAATTCTGATAAGGCTAGAAAAAGGAAAGTACAAAGTGCTCCACACCATGTGCTCTGCAGGTGTCATTTCAGTCTCTGCTCACAAGGGCATCCTGAAGCAGCTGTCATGGAGGAAACTGAAACCCAGAGAGCAGATTCTGTCCAAGATCTCCGATTCAAACCCAGGTCGCCTTCACTCCATAGGTCTGCCTTGCATTTGATCCCTAGAGAGGAAATTAGTCACACTCTTGAGCTACAGCCCAAAAACAACCTAGAAGCTTGGAGGCACAGGTATCACACTTTCCAGAGTGGGTGTCTCCTCTTGGGGTCTTCATCGTACCTACTAATGAGCCCACGTTTGAACACCTTCTCTTGAGGAAGCACATTACAGGGACTTTGAGTTAAGACTCAGGAAGCGCCAAGGGACAGGTTAAGATTTCATTTTCCCAGGAGAGAAAAATATGAGGATTCAGTCCACAATTGAAGCCACAGAGTGTTCTCTGTCATTGAGGGTGTGCTTTTCCCCCCCCTTCTCCCACCAAGAATACACACTTGGAAGTTTTTGCAAGAAGGAAGAATAGGAGGGCTTTGGGTGAAAAGCTTTCCTTCGGTGCCCATAGCTCCAAACCTACTCCTCTCATCCGAGGCAGGTTCGGATGGTCAGTGGGGCAATCATATGTCAAGGGCCAACCAGAGCAGCTCACGGTAACAGGCTCCCGTGACAGCTCTCACTTATCCAGAACTCCTGAGGGTCCACGCTCTGCCCTAAACTGTTCACAGGCACTATGCCCTATGTAAAGGATCTCACTATCATTATCCCCATTTACAGATGAGCACACTTGCTCACAAATAGCTCTTGTTCCTCAACACTATGATGAAGTGCATTTTATGTTCATTTTGGCTGGAGTCTGGGGAAGACATCCACATACTAGATGGCTGGGCTGATGCTTAAGTTTTTCTCTGATCATGGGATACTCGCGCCCAATCTCAAAGAGGGGAAAACGTACCCCCAGGCCTCACACTGTAGGACAGATCAAGAGATGGAAACGGTACCCCACCAGGAAGAATTAGAACTACACATGCCCATAATGACGTGGAGCCAATATTAACACTCAAGTCCGGCCTGGCCCCAGGGTTTATGCCAAGAAGGAGGTGGCCTGGTCTGGGTAACCCAGGCTGAGCCGAAGGGACGTCCAGGCCGGTTGGTCCCACTCTTGCGGTGGCCCCCTTCCCGCGGCTCCGCGCGCGCGCACGAACCAGCATCCCGAAAGGACGGGGAGCGCCTGCGCAAGACAGAGGTGGCTAGGCGTCAGGCTCCTAGTCCCCGCGCCCAGCAGCCGGCAGCCACGGCGCCCAACCTGGCCACCAACGGCGCCAAGTTGAGTGGCCAGAGCAGCCGCTCGCCACCAGCTCCGGGCGGGCGGCTAGGACAGTAGCGTACGCCGCGGCGTCCATTCCTTATTTCCGGCGCCCATCCCCTATTTCCGGCGCCAATCCCTTATTTCCGGCGCATTCCGCCGGGACCACGGCAAGCCGGATGTAGAAAGGGGTAGAGCAACCGAGCCAAATGGGGGCCCGCGATAGCTGCGCAATACAGGCGGGGCCGGAAGGAGAGACAGGGCGCCGCCATGACAGGTTGGGCCTAAAGGGAATGGAATGGTCCGCTTGCCGGCTCTGCGACCGGAAAAAACGAGGCAAGGACAGCGGAGTTGGGCGCCGCCATGACAACCTGTACCGGAAAAGGCGGGACTTTCCTCCCTGACTGATTCCCTACCGGCACCGGCCTGGAGATGTGAGTAGCGGGAGCGCCTACCCCGGATATGCCGCCGCACCCCCTCTCTTCCCGTGACCTGGACCTACGCCAGGACTCCGGGAGGAAGGATTGGCTTCTTTGTTCCTCGGCGATCCGACCCTTAGGATTCAGCGCAGTCCATTACAAGTCTCATCCCTCCGAGTGTCCAGGCCCCGCCCCCTGAACATTTAGACTCCTCCCCTCTTCCTCGTGGTAACTGGGAACTTGTCAGGTCCACCCTTAACACCCACCCAATCAATGTCCCTAGGACCCCTGGCACTGTCCACCACCTTGCAACCCTAGGACTGCGGAATTGTCGCGGGACCTCTACGATTCTTAGACCCGTTTTTAGAGCTCCGGGTTTATCCCCCTAGATCACCTGACCATACCTTTTGAACCTTTGGGTCTGCACAGTATCCCAGACCTCACCTGTAGCACCCACAGACTTGTTCCTAGACCACTGGTCCCGCTCTAGATTTCCAGATCTTGTTCCCAAGAGCTTACTTGTAGGAACCTCCAGATCTATCCAAGACCCCCAACCTTCCCCAGGGTTTCCACATCATGTCCCTAGAACTCTGAGACCCACCCTAGGAACCCCAAACCCACCCCAGGGCTTCAAGTCTCATCTCCAGTACCCCTGTCCTCAGGCCTAATCTTTAAGACTCTGGCCAAATAGACCCTTCCCCAGGACCAAAGACCTTACCCCTTGGACTTCTAACCCTCTTTTTAGAACTCCAAACCCCTTTAGGGCTCCCAGGTTTTCTCCTAGAACTCAAGATCTTACTTCTAAGGCCCTATTGAGGGATGCCTGAACTCAAGGACCCCTCTTCCAGGACCCCAAGGCTTGCCTTCGAATGATTAAATCTTTTTTGGAAAAGATCTCCACCATCTTCCCAGAAGCCCCCAGCCTGTTCCACAATCCCCAGGGCTCATGCCTTACCTCCTCCTCCCTCTCCCTGGCTCTATCCCAGGATCCTTCAGACTCCCGGATCTGCCCGAGATCCCTAGTGTTGTTCCCTGCTCCAGCCTCCTACCAAGATTAGAACTCCCTTTCTTGTCTGTTGTCTGGAATTATCCTCAGCCCACCATGTCCCACAGGCAGGCGGCCCTGGAGGTCACTGCTCGCTACTGTGGCCGAGAGCTGGAGCAATATGGCCAGTGTGTGGCGGCCAAGCCTGAGTCATGGCAGCGGGACTGTCATCACCTTAAGATGAGTATTGCTCAGTGCACGTCCTCCCAGTGAGTGTGGGCAAGAGTGGGACAGGGTGTGTGTGTGTGGGGGGGGAGGCGGTGGAGTGGAAGTGTGAATGCCTGAAATGTCCTTCCTCCGCAGCCCAATCATCCGTCAGATCCGCCAGGCCTGTGCTGAGCCTTTTGAGGCCTTTGAGGCGTGTCTTCGACAGAATGAGGCAGCTGTGGGCAACTGTGCAGAGCATGTGCGCCGCTTCCTTCAGTGTGCTGAGCAGGTGCGGCCAGCACACTCACCCTCAGCTGTGGAGGTGAGGCGGGGGGGCGGGGGGCTCATCAGTTCTCACCCCCTTCATCCTTCTGGTTGCTCAGAATAAAGACCTGGGAGTTATTCTCAGCCCCACCCTACCCCCCCCCACAGACCTGCACCGTGCACCCGGGATCCAGAACATGATCACCTCTTGCCCCTTTCCATAGTCCCTGCTTGAGTCCAGACACCTCCCTGAACTGTTCATCTCCAGGATCCCTGCCCCGGCCTTTTCCCTGACTCTCTGAATCCCCTCTCACTTGCCCCCCACACAGTGGGCAGAGAGAAGATTTAGGAACTGAAAACTATTCACATTACATATTTGCTTAGAGCTCTTCAATAGCTTCCCATTCACAGAACAAAATCCCAGGTCCTTGCTGGGTTCTCTGTGTTCTTCCTGGGCTGACCTCAACCACCTCCTTCCTTACCTGCTCTCTTATTCCCTTCCTTACTGTCCCTCAGCTGTACTGGGTGAGGGGGTGAGGAGGGGGCAAATGAGTCTTACTCTCTTTAATGTATACAGTATATAAACAGATATGCAGTATAACTATGGGATTAAGATTTCATGGATGGCTGCAATTTTTAAAAGCCGTCTTAAAAGACCCCTTGGGGAGCAGTAATAAAAACAAAGTTGAGAAATGCTACTTTATTTATTTATTTATTTTTAAAGATTTTATTAACACAGAGAGAGCCAGCACAAGTAGGCAGAGCGGCACGCAGAGGGAGAGGGAAAAGCAGACTCCCCGCTGAGCAGGAAGCCTGATGCGGGGCTCGATCCCAGGACCCTGGGATCACGACCTGAGCCGAACACAGACGTTTAACTGACTGAGCCACCCAGGCACCCTGAGAAATGCTACTTTAGATGTTTACTGCCTCCCCTCACTGGACTGTGCGCTCCTAAGGCAAAAGTCACATCTTACACCACCTCCCTCTTAACATTCTCTCATTTGAGCCTCTGTGCTCTGTATTATCACTTTCAGTCCACTCTCTGTGATGGTCCCAGAGCCATCCCAAAGGAAATCTGTCCATGTTCTGTTTCACTTATTTATTTTATTTATTTATTTATTTTGAGAGAGAGAAAGAGAGTGTGAGCGGGGAGGGGACAGAGAGAGAGGGAGAGAGGGAATCCTAAGCAGGCTCCACACTGACGCGGGGCTCAATCTCACAACCCTGAGATTGTGACCTGAGCCAAAATCAGGAGTCAGACACTTAGTTGACTGAGCCACCTAGGCACCCCACGTTCTGTTTCACTTAAAAACCTTTCAGTTAAGCATCTGCCTTCAGCTCAGGTCATGATCCTGGGACCCGGGGATCGAGCTCCACGTCGGGCTCTCTGCTGGGCAGGGAGCCTGCTTCTCCCTCTTCCTCTGCCACTCCCCCTGCTTGTGCTCTCTGTCTCTGTGTGTCAAATAAATAAGGTCTTTAAAAAAACAAATAAATAAAAACAAAAAAAGCTTTCCATGGCTCCTCACTTCCATCAGGTCAAATCTAAAGTCCAGCACAGCCTATATAGGGCCCTGCATGGTCTGGACTCTGCCCCCACCCCCCGCTCCCCACTTTCTACATCATACTCTGTGTTCTGGCCCTGGTGAAGGTGCAATTACTCAAGTGCATGTCTCTCCTGCCGGCAGGCTTTTATCCAGCTGTTTCCTTCTGCCTGGACTGCCCTTCCTAGGCTACCTGGCTGCTTGCTATTCCGGCTTAGATACCACTCCCTCCGAAAACCTCTCCTGTGGGCCCATCCCCATCCCCGGGCTCCCATGGTCTCTGAGCTCCTTCCATTATGGCTTATATCTTACTGCCTTGTAACTGCTCCATTCCCATCGCCTGTCTCAGAGGAGTTCTTGGCTAAAGATGGGGGAGATGCCCTTCTACCAGGCCCCGTAGTCCTTGTTTTGTTTTAATATGGCAGTCATAAGTGAAAGGTTCAGGCCCTAGGAGCGGACACTGGCAGGAAGGACTTTTAATTCTTAGAAATGATTTAGTAATGATTGCATACTATTCATGTTAGTTTCTTAGTCTGTATATTGGCTCTGTGTTAGTCATACGTTCTTTCTTTCAAGTTTTTTGGGCATCTGAACAGTAAAGGCCTCACCTTTCCAGCTCAGAGCTCGTTGTTCCCGCCCTGATTAAGCAGCCAGCTTCTCCCTGGTCTTCCTGTGACCATCCTGCCCCGAAATCTGCTCTCCCCTGGCAGCCACAGGACCTTGTCAAAATGGAAGTGAGGTCACATCTCTCCCCTTTCCGGCCTTGTCGTGGCTCCTGAGTGCACCGAGGGTGGTTCCTCCCGCACCTGGTCCTCCTCACCGTCCTCCTTCCGGGTGATGGCGTCCCCGCTGCAGCCTCCCCCTGACCGCGGGCCGTGAGATTTGGGCCGCCTCTAGTTTCTACTCTACACACAAGCAGTCTCATCTCACAGAACATGATACAAAGACATCTTGTGTTCACATAGCTGGCAATTTGAGATGCTCCTTGTACCTCCTCCTCCGCATACACCTGTGTTCTTTACCCTGATTTATTTCTCTTTGTAGACAGTTGACATCTTTTTGTTGTTTATTTGTTGTCTGTCTCTTCCTAGAGTCAGAGATTTGTGCCTGCTTCATCCGTTGCCCTGTAACAATGCCAGGCACACTGCAGGTGCTCAGTAAATACAGCAAATGGTGCCTTCCATGCTCCCAGTGACAGGTCACTGTGTCAGACGTGTTCACATGGCAGATGGCCAAGGCCATCACCTGATACCCTCTCTCTCTCCAGACTCTGGACTTGGCAAGGGCAGCCTCTGCTGTCTACATAACCTCCCCCAGCGGGGGCCCCAGGGCCAGGCACAAAATAGGTGCTAGTAGATGCTCATGTGTTTTTTCCATAGGCAAAGCCAGTTCCTGCCTCCTGAGGACTCTTTGAACCATAGGAAAACTGGACCCGAGCAACTGGCCACTTGATGCCCCCAGTCCTAAAGAGTGGCCAGGTGGAGTCATGAGGGGCGTGGATGGGAGTCTGGCTTCTCTGGACAGCAGGACTCACAATAAATAAAGACTCTGTATACCAGACTTTGACTTCTGCCTTCAGCAGCTGAGGGGAAACTGAGGGGAGAGCTGGCTGGGCGGAAACCCTGCTCCTCTATCCCCCAGCTTCACGCAGCGTGCCTAGGAAGGGCCTGCTCACCAGGGTTAAGACGACCCCTCTTTCCTCGTTAATTCGGCCAACAGCCACTTCCTGTCTCCTGCCGCACAGACATGGGAAAAGGATCTTTCTCGCTTCCACTCGAGCGTTTACCGAGTCTTTATTGAGTGTTTCCTTGAGGTGTAGGGAGCAGTAATATCACACTTCTTTTCCTCCTGAGTTTTGAGCCAGTTGTGTGATAGACATGGGCACTAGGCAATGGGGATGAAAATACTGACTTTATTACTGGGAACAGCTGCTCTGAGAAGTGTGGCTTAGAGTCTGCTGTCCTGGACTTCTGTTCTGTCTTGGTTTGTGTTCTTCCAGAATCCGACCCTGAGAATTGGAGTGCAGATAGAATATTTGGAATGTGATTCCAGAAACATTTGGAGGGGAGTGGAGTGGTGAGACAGAGAGGAAGGCAGCCAGTAAAAGGTGTGTTATCAAGCCAGTTAACACAGTGGGCGATGGGCTCAATCTAAGGGGCAAGGAGGTTGGGATATAGATCACCAACTGCCCGTCTGTGACTGGGGGCAGTTTTCATGGGCATTGACCATCTTGCACTTCTGCCTGCCCCATGTGTGGTCACGTGCCCTGCCATCAACAAGCCCTGAGCAGAGAGTAGCCAAGAATCAAGTAAGCAATGTTCAGCACCCAGAAGAGTGCTGAGTGGATGTGGGCAAGGACCAGCAGTGGCTGCGGCAGCTTCTCAGTTTCTCCTCATGAGTACATGTTCTGTGGGCCCGGCTGGTTGATCACCAGCTCCCCAGCACGGGGCAGGTCCTAAAGGGCAGAGGGCAGACAGGCAAGGATGCAGGAGAGAGATCGTGGCGTGTCCGGCTGAGTGTGTCCAGGGCCTGCACCCAGATTCCCCATTCAGACAGGCCATTTCCCCCTGGAGGTGACTCCAGACTTCCAGAAATTAGAAGTGACTGGCCAGTGCTGCCTGGACTGGCTGTTGGAAACCCAAGGCTTGTGCTCTGACTTGGAAAAATGAGCCAGAGTGTCCCCTGGGGATTTGATCTTTAAGACAGACTTGTCAGTTGGCTTGGGAGCTAAGGTGGGATCCTGCAGTCAGGGTTGTGGGAGCTACCAGAAGCCATGTGGTACAAGCCAGAGAAAACCCAAGGGGAGAAAGGAAGGTGATCATTCTTGTGGTTTCTGAAAGGGCTGCTTGGGTCCTGATGGCTTTCTGTTCCCAGCTTCAGTTTTCTTGGGCTGTGGATTGAGTCCTCAGATTTCTTTGTCTGTTTTCAGCCAACCCCACTTTCCTTCGGTAAGCTTGAGTTGGGGTTCTGCTCCATGTAATTAAAGGAGTATAACAAGAGGGCCCTGGGTGGCTCAGTGGGTTAAGCGCCCAACTCCTGATTTTAGCTCAGGTCATGATCTCAGGCTCATGGGATCAAGCCCTGTGTCAGGCTCCACGCTCAGTGGGGATTCTGCTTGAGATTCTCCCTTGCCCTCTGCCCCTCCCCCCCAATTAAATAAAAGAAGGTGATAAGAACAAACAAAACAGGTCGAGACTACGTTTTAGGATCTCTAAGTGGCCTCTCTTCCAGTAGGCTAGATCTCTCTTCCAGTAGGCTTCCTTAACTGGTGGTATGTCAGGGGTCCAAGAGAGCAAAAAAGGAAACCTCAAAGTCATCGTTTTTGTCACCTTCTATTGGTCAATGCAAGTCACAGGGCCAACCCAGATTAAAGGTGTGGGGAGACCACCTCTCAATGACTTTTGGCTGGAAGGAATTTTGCCCACATTTAAACTACCATAAAAACTTAATAGTTTTAGGGCACCTGGGTAGTGCAGTCGGTTTGGTGTTGGACTCTTGGTTTTGGCTCAGGTCGTGATCTCAGGGTCGTGGGACTGGGCCTGGCATCATGTCTGTGCTTAGCACGGAGTCCGCTTGGGATTCTTGCCCTCTCCCTCTGCCCCCACAGTGTGTGCTCGCTCGCTCGCTCTCTCTCTCTAAAAATAAATCTTAGGGGCGCCTGGGTGGCTCAGTTAAGTTAAGGGTCTGCCTTCGGCTCAGGTCATGATCTCAGGGTCCTGGGATCGAGTCCCGCATCGGGCTCCCGGACTCTGCCTCTCACGAATAAATAAGTAAATCTTAAAAATAGTTTCTATTCTATTCTATTTCTATTCACTATTTCTATAGTGTCTGTTTTGATGAATTGTATTTAGGGAGTTTTCACATAATCTGAATTTTCGAATTGCCGTAAATTTGTTCACAATATCCTCAGACAATCTTCGTAAGACCTACAGAATCTGTGGTGAAAGCCCCTTTCTCATTTCTGACATTGGGCACTTATGCCCTCTTTCTTTTTCTCTTATCCCATCTTGATGGTTTACCAATTTATTAATCTTTTATTTACTTGCCAGAATTTACTTTTGGCTTTGCTGGTGTTCTTTGTATATTTGTTTCTAACTTAATTATCTTCTGTATAATTACCTTTTTTGGATTTAATTTTGTATTTTTGAAGTGCATGTTTAGCTCACTGATTTGTAGCCTTTTTTCTTTTCTAATGTACACACTTAAATTCCCCACAAAGCAAGCTTTTCTATTTTGCATTTTTCATTGATTCCAGATTATTTAGAAGTTTAAAACTATTTTTAAATTTCCGAACATGTGGGGATTTTTCTCGTTATCTTGCCTAATTGCAATTGGATTAGGGACATATTTTATATGGTTTCAATCTTTAGAAATATGTTGAGACTTTCACGGCTTGGCATCGGGTTGGCTTTTGTTAATGTGCCATCTGTGCTTGAATCATAATCCTTGGTTCATGATGCACTATCTTAGGTTGGGTTCCCCCAGAAACAGATTTTGAGGCAACGCTTTTTGGGAGATGGCCTCAGAAAGCACTGGCAGGGCAGAGGGAAGTGAGACAGGAAGGGAAAGCAGCATATCAAGGCTGCATTATCAATTGTGCAAGTTATCACTGGGCAACAGCTTAACTCTCTGGGGAACTCTGGAAACAGAGGAGAACATACTCTTCCTCCACAAGGGGTGGGGGTATTTATACACTAACCCCCATCAGGCATTTTGTTCAGGGTCACTTAGGGGGCTGGGATTTTAATTTCCATGCTGCTTCCTGTTTGCCAGACACACAGGCAGAGTGGGCTTTGGGGGAGAGAAAACTCCAGCAAGGAGCAGCAGCTTCGGTGGGGTTCACTCAGTGGGAGCCACTCTGTGGCCATTCATTGCAATGAGACCCATGGCCACGGCCACCATTTCCCCAGCCTGTCATGGCTGCCTCCGCAGCAGCCACCATCATCTCAACTCCCTTTGCTGCCGTCACTGCTGCCTCCCATGACTGCATCCCACCACAACTACCATTGGTGGAGGTTTTGCAGTAACACGAATGCTTTCAAAATGCTTGACTCTGTTCACAAAGGATGGCTCCATTCAACCCAGGAGGCCAACTAGAAGTGGTAGGCATGAAGCCTGAGGGAGTATTGAGAACGGTGTGGGGAAGAGACAGGTGTCAGTGTAGGGGGACATGTGCAGATGTTGAAGTGGTCCAGTGAGCTGATGACCCTCAGGATTCTGAGGAGGCAGAATGTGCCAGTCAAAGGAGTGCAGAGGTGAGGAGGTAGGGTACGTTAACCAGAAAGCAGAGTATGTCATCGAGAGTCTCCATTTCACCTTTGGTGGTTGAACTGAGGATTTGTGCTTGCCATTGAACATACTGACTTTGTTGATAAAGATAATCAGAATAAGAACGATAAATATTTCAGTCAGCACTCCCTTCAGTAGGTAAGCACTTGGTTTATGCTGTGAAAAACTTTTGAGCAGTATCTGTACAAATAGAAGCCAGATTCTCTAAGGAAATTCATAATCCTGAAAGAAAATAAGCTGGCAGGGCACATGGCTGCCTCAGTGGGTAGAGCATGTGACTCTTGATCTCAGGGCTGTGAGTTCGAGCCCCACGTTGGCTATAGAGCTTACTTAAAAATAAAATCTTTATATATTTGTGTATATATATGTGTATTTAGAAATAGATCTTAAAAATCTCTTTCAATATGCAGGCAAGGCTGAGAACCACTGCCTAGTGGAATTCCTCAATTTTGTTTGACTGTGTTTTATAATATTAACATGCTCGGAATTAAGGTTTGAAAGTTGTCGAACCTACTTAATGCCCCTGATGTTACAGAGGTTTCAGAGTCCAGGGAGTCGATGTGTGTCACAATAGTATTTCTTTTTGAACTCAATAAATATTTACCAGCGAGGTGGTGACGTGTGAGACAAGGTCAGACCCAAATAATTCGAATCCCTTCCTTCTTCTCTGATGGGCCAGAAATTATGCGATGCATGGCGTGTTGGGTCAGCCGGACAGAGGAAAGAATGTCACTCTGAAAAGTATTAAGAAGCAGCAAAAATGCCAAGGACACAGACAAGTTTGTGTAATGAAGGGACCTGCCCTCCTGAGGCTCTCAAGGGCAGATGCCTGGACACCGTCCCTGGAGCTGCCTTTGCTGCAGAGCGTGGGCAGACAGGCAAATCTCATCCTTCCCAGGATAAGCCACCGGGGATAACACCATGACTGTGGTGCAACAGTGCAGGGGCCTGGTGAAGAAAAGGGGGAAATGCAGACCAGAAAAATGAAGAACCAGAACGACCCCCAGGCATCTAGTCCCAGCAGAGCACCAGCCCCAGGGAACTGGGTCCAGGCAAGCATGTATGTTCTTAAGCTACATAAGTGCAAGACTTTTAAAAAGCAGAATGTAAACCCAATAGTACTAATTAAAAAGCAAGTTACCTCTATTGAATAAAAAACAACCACGTGTTTCTTTCTGTCTGATACAGTGAGAGTTTTTCTTCTTCTTCTTTTTTAAAGATAT